AGAATCTAAACACTGCTGCACAGCCTTTTAAGGTTTTGGGGAATTCTCCTTCAAATGTTATGTCAGAAAAATGTATGAGTGTCCAGATATTTTTGAGTGCACTATCAACATTAAAAATATTCTTTTTTTCTTTTTTTTCTTTTTTAAGAAGAAATAAACAGTGCTGGTATTCTGGCATTTGCTATCACTGCAGTGGGAAATGTGAATATCCTTCCTGATTTTGCTCTATATAGTARGAGTTTTAAGGTTCAGCTTCATCATTTTAGCCCATGTGTTTTGTCTTAGACCTGTTTCTTTTCTGAATTCCAATGCATGCAACCCCTTAGAAGAGAGGCAGATGGTGAAGTTGATGTAGGTCAGTGCAGAGTTTGTCTGTGCTGAGGTGCTGAGTTTTCTCTTTCCTTTATATAATATCCCCATGGATTGACCAGAAATGGCAGTAGACATTGTAAGAGTTCTTCTCTTCCCTTGCACATCACAACCTTTACTAAATTCCAGTACAGTGCAGAGACTGCGGAAATTTGAGGTGCTCGGCCATCCCTGACTCTGGGAAGTTCATTCACTCATGACAATAAAATCTGAGGAGTTATATGAAGAAAAAAAAACCTTATTCATAGTAAAATTCAAAAGAGGAGCTTTAGCTGAACAGGGGTTACATTTCAGGATGCACAGAATGGTTTGGAGAATTAAGACAATGCAAAGGTATTCAAAGAATAGTATCTCTTTACGTGAAAGATAACTTTTGGAGTCTAAATTGCTTAAATAATGACAAAATGCTGGCAAGCAGAAATTGCAATTTTTTTGTTATTTTTAACCCCACTACATGTGTTCTTTTGCTTCACTACAAAATATTTTATAAGTGCTTAAAAAATAAACTTCTTTGAGTGCATTTGGGTGTCAAAAACCGAAATTTGAGGGGAGATAAGGTGTGTTTCCAAGGGATTGTTTCCAAATGCACATACATAAAAACCAGTATTTTGGCATAATGTCAAATAATCATAAAAATATGTTGCCACTTACCACTGTACACCACCATGGACATAGACACCAGCAGAAATACAATCATTTTTTGTTTAATCCAAAGACAAGAAAAAAGTCACAAAGCAGACTGGTGTGCCTGGTGAGTAAATTAAATAAAATATTAGACAGAATGTTATTGCTTGAGTCAGGGAGTGGGRAGACCTCATTTTAGGAAATCATTCCTTTGTAGCCTGGATATATTTCTGCTTGATACAATTCAATTTTTACCCTTATAGTAAATGCACATATTACAGGAATAATTAGCCTTATATATCCTTATTTTACCCATGTCCTCTGTAAGTCTGACCAACAAGATTTATTTTGATATTGCTTTAAGTGAGTCAACAGACTCTGTGAGAGTGTCATTTGGCAAAAAAATGATGCACTTGTAGTTTTTTGTTTTGTAAACAGTTTTCACATCTTCCTTGATCTAACAGGATGTTCAAACAATTCTTATGTTAAAATGTGAAACACTGTGTAAATAAAAAATTTTTCTGAGATTGTGTCTATGGAATCCAGCTTGTCTGCAATCCATTATATTTGTTTCCTATCACAAAAATGTGTAGTCAAACATTTATTCTAATCTGTGTTGAGGCTGATCTAATCATAAGTTTTCCTGAGGAGAAACATTATGTTGTTTGGAGATCTTTGAGAAATGCGTGTAAAAAATTCCTCTGTATCTAAAATTGCTGCACTAGTATTCATTAAAGAGAAGGTGATAGATTAGTTTTTAACTGAAGTCACAGAYTACTTTAAATTTAGAATGATTTTCCAAGTAATTGAGGCATAGAGCTTTTTATACCCAAATAAATGAACATACATAAATATACATATATATATATGTATATATATGCTTTCAAATATGTTCCTACTTTATCTGCTTTTCTGAGCTCAAATACTGAATTCATTTCTATCAGAAAATCTTGTATAATATCTATCAGTGTATCTTGTATTTTCTATCAGAAAATATTTCATCAGGAAGTGAGTTTCTAAATCTAACAGCTTTAAATATTTATAGTCTATTTTCCCAAATCTCTTACCTACACTTTTATCTGTAACTCCAAAGTCACAAATAGCTTATTCTACAATATTTTCCTCCTGCTTCCCTTAATATAGAGWACATCCAGAAAGGCTTACCTTGAGGGATATTATCCGAAAGCAGTTGGATGGAGGACAAATGGRTTTCAGCAAAGTCAGTACTAAGTTATTTATACCCACTTGGATATAAACCTCACCCATGTGATCACTTCCTTTATCAAACCCWCTTCAGCATTTATTAATTAATTCTTCCACGAGATTCCTTAGAGTCATTATGCCCTTAGTGTATCTGGTAAGATGGCTCCAGCCATGTAAAGGATCCATACTGAGGAGTCTGTTCTGCAGGTGCATTCACCATATAATAACTTTCCCTAATACTCAGRGCTGTAATTAAGTAACAGTCATCCCATTGTTATTAATCACCCACAAAATCTCTGGGGCTTGTGAATATGGCTTTAATAGCTTAGCAAGAGGTAGTGTTCAGTGATGAAAGACAAGTGAGAATTTACACAGCTTTAAACACTGGCATTCCTCAGGGCTGGGAAGTCTTCTCTCATCTCTCCACGGTGGCTCCGATCCAAGGCTGAGTGAAATCCAGGAGAAGGTTGATTCAGTGAGCTTTGGGAAGGCTTCTCCTCACGGGGAAGGTGTGCTKTCTGCTGGGAACAGACACAGCTACCCTTCAAAGAGTCCATCAACAAAGGCAAAGTGTCCACTCAACTGTAGCATGGAGGAGTGAGGAATCTGACAATTGGCAATTGTAAAAATACTTACGTGAGCAAAAGGCTCTTTGACTCTGTGACCTACATGGTTTTTGGGAAGGCCTTTGACACGGTCACCTGTGAGATCCTCACAGAGGAGCTGTTGATATCTGTGCTGGGTGTGCTTGGAGGGGTGGGGTGAAAATGGACCAGTGGGGCCCAGAGGGTGGTGGCCAGAGACACAAAGTCTGTTTGGGAGCCAGTGACTGCTGGTGCATTCCAGCACTCAGTGCTGGCTCCAGCCCTGCTTGGCATCTCCATTAATGATCTGATGGGGCAGGATGGACCCTCAGCTGGTGACACTGACCTGGGATGAGTGGCTGACATTTCAAAGGCTCGTGCTGCCATCAGAAGGACCTCAACAGGCTGAAGAAATGGGCCAACAGGAACTTCATCAAGTTCAACAAGTATAAAGTCTTGCACCTGAAGAGGTGCAGCCTCCTCCACAAAGGAGCTGGAAAGGACCTGGGTCCTGCTGGACACAGGGTTGAACTTGGCTGAGGAGTATGCCCTTGCAGCAGAGAAGGCTCAGGATGTCCTCAGCTGCATTTGGCAAAGTTCTGCCTGCAGATGGAGGGAGGGGACATTGACCCTCTGTTCTGCACTGCTGAGGCCTCACCTGCGGGGCTGTGCCCARTTCTGGGCTCCTCAGGGYAAGACAGACAAGGAAAATCTTGAGAGAGTTCAAAGAAGGGGTGCAGAGATGATGAARGGACTRRAACCAYRAGGAGGGGATGAGAGCTGGGACTCTGCACTAGAGGAGCCTCAGGGGGATCCTCACTGCCTGTGCAACCCTGAGGGGAGGGTATAAAGGGGACAGGGCCATTCTCTGTCCAGCAGTGCCCAGTGACGAGAGGAGAGGCTGAGAAAGCTGCTGGGACAGAGTGAGATCTCCCAAGCATTGCAAAACCACGGCCATGTTACCATTCCCAGCTCACTGCACCCACATTCCTACTCATTCCATTGTCAGCTGTGATTRCTGCTACTCCAACCTATCCTGCTCTCCGACAGGACAGAAGTGCTCTCATGCTRTTGAGCACAACAGTGAAATGTATTTTAGAAAAGAACTGCACATCCCACATCTCCCTGGGGTCAGCAGTGCTTATGGTGCCACTTTTCTCCTTGGCTTTTCCTTTGAACACATCTTTCTTCAGTGAAACATCAATGTGCAGCAGCGGTAGAGAAAATAAACTTATTTAAAAACAACATTAATGTACRCTGGGAAGATATTGCTGCAGCATAGCAGAACATGGGATCATGCAATGATTTGGATATTCTTTCATTTTTTAGAATTTTTTTTAGCTCACTGGAATTGCATACAAAGGACATGAAAKCCAGGTTGGAWGGGGCCCTGAGCAACCTGATSTGGTGGTGTTGGAAGSAGATGATCTTTAAGGTTCCTTCCAACCCAAACCATTCTATAATTCCATGTTTCTGTTAATCCTGGTGAACTCACACAAGTAAATCTCAAAGCACGAGAGGTGTGGTCACTTCCTGGGCTGACCCTCTGCATTACTTGCATTGCTGAAGCAATGGAAGCTCTTGATTTAGAAGATAATTTGCATGTGTTTAACACCAGAGAGTCCTTCTCTTCAGTGTTTCAGTTTGCTTTTAAGCTACTGTGCATTTCTTCATTTTGATTACTATGTCTTAAATGTCGATAAAACTAATAGAAACTATTTGCATTCACTARCCAACCATGTAGACATCCTTTATAAAATAAGATTTTTTAAAAGCCTTTCAATGCTTTTATTGCAGTTACATCACCTGTATAAAATATTTCTGTTTTTACACATTATTTTTACAATGCCTTGGAGGAAGAGATATTTCTAAGTTAACATGTGGTTAATAGCTTGTCTTATTTCAAATATTTGCAAATTACATGTTGCTTTCTGATTTTTACATTGAGAAATCAAAAAGACAACTAAAACTGCCACCAGTCTTCCAACTCGCAGTAAAATTTCTCAGTGCTCTAAACTGATGTACAGATGTTTTTAAGGCATTTTTGCTTTAATGCTGGAAGAACACAAGAAAATTTTAGTTAGAAGAGGCTTCATGAGAAAATACTAAAACATATATGAAGATCAAATAACACTTTCTTAAAAAAAAATCCTTAATTTGCTGGATAAAATAGCTATCTGATGAAAGACAGCAAATATTCTATGGATATATAAAAATCTGTTATATCTTCATAATAAGGTATGTAGAGATATAGAGATACAAATTTAAAGTGTACTTACTGTGGGAATAAGCCACTCTTTTGACTCTTTCACAGACATAACTTGCATTTTTCACAAACCAGGAATAGTACTCAACACAGTACCTGAAGATGCAGTTAGATAGGAGATGTAGTTAGAGATAAGAGTCTTGTCTTTCATGAGGAGAGGGACTTTGGACAAGGCCATGTAGTGACAGGACAAGGAGGAAAGGCTTCAGAGTGAATGAAGGCAGGTTTAAATTGAATATTAGGAAGAAATTCTTCCCTGTGAGGGTGGTGAGGCCCTGGCACAGGCTGCACAGAGTGGATGCCCCAACCCTGGCAGTGTCCAAGGTCATCTGGGATGGAGTTTTGAACAACCTGTTGTAGGGGAAGGAGTCCCTGCCCATGGCAGCAGAGTTGGGTCTAAATGGTCTTTAGATCCCTTCCAACTCTATTCAGTCTCTGATTCGGTGATAAGCACAGCTTATCCTGCTCCTGTTACTGAATATGGAAATAAAAAGCTCGATTCCCACCTCAATGGTGTCATTAGATATTTGAGAAAATGCATCCGGGCTTTTTTCACTTAGCTACAATATTGAGGGCAGATCAGGTACTGAGGAGAGCACTGGGACACATTTGGGTCTCAACTGGTGGCCAGGAACCCTCAAAAATAATCACTGGTGATTGAAAATTGTCAGCTGGGGAAAAAGTCTGAAAGAGTAGTTCAAGCAGACAGAGAAAGAAAAGYTAGTGCCCGGTTTTACCTCATGGCTTCCTTTCTGGAATATCTTCTCTGACCGACACAGAGGCACAGCTGAAAGAACCKACAGAGCTCCATCACACAGGGACTGATCTTCTGCACCATGAGAGTGACAGGAGGAGAGGTCACACGGGGGTCTCTGAACATTGCTTGTGGGCACCCTGGGGAAAAAACACATTTCTGACTTGTCCCACTAAATCTCTTACTATACCTTGTCTGGTCTATGAGCTCCAAATGTCTTTCCTACTCCAAAAAATAAGGATACCCCTGAAAATGCCATCATCCTCAGGCTCTGAATGGAGAAAGGAAAGGAAAGGAAAGGAAAGGAAAGGAAAGGAAAGGAAAGGAAAGGAAAGGAAAGGAAAGGAAAGGAAAGGAAAGGAAAGGAAAGGA